AGCGGCGGTTTCCTGCTGGCGGCGCTTCGGGAAGAGGCCTCGCTCAGGGGCCTGAAGCACCGCGCTCCGTCCCTTCCCCGCGCGCTCGCGGAGCGGTTCTCCTCGCCCGAATTTACGCTGTGCTGTCTTAATTTAGATTATGCGGACAAGCCCTTGGAGAAGCCCTTAAAGCTGGTGCTTAAAGTGGGAGGGAGCGAAGTGACCGAGCTCTCCGGGTCAGGGCACGATTCCAGCTACTACGATGACAGGTCGGATCACGAGCGAGAGCGGCACAAAGAGAAGAAGAAGAAAAAGAAAAAAAAGTCGGAAAAGGAAAAGGAAAAGCATCTTGATGATGAGGAAAGAAGAAAGAGAAAGGTAAGCTGTGACTTTTGGATTTCGGAAGTACCAGTTGTCTTCCTGCTTGCTTCTCAGATGTAAATTCTTGGTGCAGAGAGCAAGAGGCCTTTTTTTTTAAATCGAAGTGTTGCCGGAAGCTCTCGTTTGGTGACAGCCCTTCAAAAAGGTGCAATACCTTTGTGTGTGTGTGTGTGTGTTGTTAGTGTATTGCGCCCCCTGCAAAAGAGAGCCGCAAACGGCAGTTGGTTGAATAGCGCTTATTTCTGGTAAGAGCTGTTTTTTCCTGTCCGTTTGTCTTTCGTGTAGTTACAAATACACTTCTGGTTTCTTAAATGTATTACTTCATGCTTTGTCCAGGTTAGGATTAAGCATCCTGGTTAATGCACCAGACAAGGAAAGCATGTTGATCAAATGAGAGCAGCAGATTGTTCTTTACTGTGTAGTAAATTCCGAGGTTGCTCGCTGCTTACTCTTGTAGTTATCATGCAGCTTTGCACAAAAATAGCTACAGGAAAGCATTCTTTTCACCACAAGTGGAGCCTCTAATCACATACAAAAAGGCCAAAATGAATGGAATTAGCAACAGTAGAAGAAGGGTGGGGGGGGGGAAGTAGTAGTGGGAATTGAGAATACATGCACTATTGTTTAAACCGTGTTTTTACATATTGTGGTTTGGATAGAGCTTCAGTACTCCCAAGGAAAAGTCACTCGTATCTTTTTTTTTAATGTGGAATTTTACTTTTTAAGTACTTCTTTTTTTTTGTTTTATTTTGTTTTCTTCCTGTTGTGCTAGGAAGAGAAAAAGAGGAAACGGGAAAAAGAACAGTGTGACACTGAAGGGGAGACTGACGACTTTGATCCTGGAAAAAAAGTGGAGGTTGAACCTCCTCCAGATCGCCCTATCCGAGCATGCAGAACTCAGCCAGGTGAGGAGTGTGTAAACATTTTCATCAGACCTATGTGAATGGCTTTTACATGTGCATTGGAACATAATGAATTAATAGTTAATACTGACGAGATTGATCTGGCCATACCAAGGATGAATGCCTCCGGCCCCAGTTTATTGTCAGAATAAAAATAGTGTAAAAGAGTCATCGTGCTTAGTGTTCCCTAGTTCCTCGCCCTTCACATTTCCACTATACCGTGTACAAAAACATGATCAGAATGACTGAAAGTAGGGTTTGTTTTTTTCAGTTCTTTTTTTTTTTTTTAATCATAACCTACATGATGTTTTGAGTATTATCATCACAAGGTGGCAGTAAACTGTGATAGGGTGCCACTAAAGACTGTAGTCCCCACACTTCTGTTTTGCAAATCTTATAACTGTCATCATTAGGCAGCCTGCCTATCAGATGTGTATGGTAAACTTTGCATGCTTATCCCTTTGGAGTTTGCCATGATTTTCTCCACCTGTTGTTTATAGCTAACTCTAACATTTTTCAGTGGAAGCTTTTACTTAGAAAATTTTGGCTTAGTAAAAAGGCTTTGTGCTTGATAGGTAACTTAATAACAAAAAGTTGGGTCTTTAGGAAGATTACCTGTATTGTTTTCAAAACTGTTCATTGACCAGGCAAGTCATTTGTTAAGGAATATTCTAATTATGACTGCATAATAATTTGAGGACTCTGTCCATTCAGGTGGCCAGTAAAGGTAATTGAAATATTCTGGTTGCAGATTTTGGCTCTTGATATAATGAAGAATTGAAATTTGGTTAAACTAAAAAAAAAAAAATCCATATTGACATGACTTCTATTTTCCATCTGCTTATAAAAATACAAATTTTAAAGTATTTATCTTGACTGTTGTAACTGAGAAGTGAAATCTCATTGAAATGATGAAGAATTTGAGTTTCAATTCTAGACTACAGGTTACTTCTTGTTTCATTTTTCAACCTTCACATCAAAGCCAGTCTTTACGAAGTTCATGTATGTGTCAAAACAGGCAGTTAATTAACAAATGCTACATACATTAATCTGTACGGCAAATAAAACTTTAATCTGCATTTGTTTCTCCAACAAATCTGTATCTATGCATTATTCTTCTTTTTGTTTGAGAAGATTAACCTCAATCTCAGGGAAACAAATGGCCTAGATTGTTAGGGCAAATGAACTATATAGCATTTTATCAGTATACCTACCTATAACAAGTGAGGACCTTCCAGCTACAGTATTTGAGCTGCCAAGTTTCATTTTTCCTGTTAAAATAAATGACAACCGATTATAGACTTAGTATTACATCTGATTTAATGTATACCCATTTTAAATTTAATGCAATTAAAACTAGGTAAATAATTGCTGTAGGCTTAAAAAGAGATTTATCCTATGCACTCCTATTGTCATTAAAATCTTTATCTCATTGACCTTCAGATCAGCGCAAGCTATAATTTTATCTTTGCTACTGATATTATAGATAGAAATATCTATATCATTGCACTTTACCCTTTTTTGTTTTGTTTTTCATCTCAAATTACAGCTGAAAATGAAAGCACGCCCATCCAGCAGCTACTGGAACACTTCCTTCGCCAGCTTCAAAGGTATTTCAGCATGGTGCATCAACAGCTGTATGGATAATGTCTAGTGCATATTTAGATGTGTTACTTTAGAACTTCTTAATCTGCTTTTCTGTTAGGAAATAATGCATAAAGACTAATTGTAATACTGATGGTAACCTTTGCAACCATATCAGATCTTGTAGGTTTTGGTTGAACAGTGCAGAAAAGAATATTGCAGGCACTAGTTGTGGAAAGTTTTTACCAACTATGCAATTCTGACTCTTTTGGGGGGGTAGTTGAGGGAGGGCTTTGCTGTTACATGTTCATTAAGGAGTATGTTTAGGATTTTTTTTTTAAGCTGTAATTTTTATTGGCTTAAGAGGTGAAACGGTTCTCATGTTTTTTATTTTATTTTATTTTTGCCTATATCCTTTATATATCCTTTTTGTTTTATGTATTTTATGTCAGATGCCAAATTAGCAGATTATCTTGCCTGGTAATCTGGACTACTAATTTGGACTTTGATTTTATTGTTTGCTGTAAGATGTTAATGCTGTAATGCTTATTGTTTAATTACTGAAACGTTTCATTTTCCTTTTCTTATTCTATAACAGTAAGCTGAATTTGGAACTAATTCTAAAGTCTTAAACTTGCATAGTTGTTTTAAGAATGACAAAATCCTAGTGACGAAGATTGGAAGAGGTTATTACTCACAGAAGTGGAAAGATCCCTTTGGAGTGTAAATGGAGATGCAGAAGACATACAAGAGAATAATTTCAAGACCTTGTTCAATCTGTTTTGAAAAAGTCTACATATTCTTAATCAACATTTGTTCTCGTGTTAGAAAATTTTTCAAGTGTTATTTTGTTTGATCTTAGCTAGGACTATTCATTTTATGCTATAAATATAATATAAAATAGTGATAATTTTGTTTCTGAACATAAACCTACATGTATTTTTTAATTTACTTTTAGGAAAGACCCTCATGGATTTTTTGCTTTTCCAGTCACGGATGCCATTGCTCCTGGATATTCCATGATCATTAAACACCCTATGGATTTTGGTACTATGAAGGAAAAAATTACAGCAAATGAATACAAATCAGTCACTGAATTCAAGGTGAATTGATAGAGATTTAGTTATTTCAGAGCACTTTGGTAGTAAACTTAAGATTTTAAATTAAAAATTTTAATTTTAAAATAATTAATGTGAGAAAGACTTCTAATGTGCACTACTTAAGAATTCTAACCACACTGTGCATTTTGCCTGTTAGAGTGGGTGTCTTGCTTTATTTTTCACTCTAGAAGCTTTATATTTGTCAGTCTCCTATTCTCATACAATTACCAAATTTATTGGGGGAAATAAAACAACTTAAGTGCCTGCAGTATTATTATTTATGAGTTTATGTCTAGCATCACGTGCCTATGTCTATGGATTTCATGGTAGAACTATAGAGCAGATTTTTCAGAAACCTGGAACATCCTTACATATATATGTGTATATATATATATATATATAAAAATTAATCTAGTCTTGATTAGGTTGATTATAAGGCATTTTTTACATGTTTGCAAAAAAAAGCTGTGGAGATACTCAACCACTTTTGTATGAGTAAATAACGAAATTGTATTTTACAGTTTAGTGACTGTTTCTTAGATTATCCTGTTTTCCATGTAACTTTGTTTGGAGTGGTCTTTTGGCAAAGCATTTCTTGGCAACTGGCTTTAGCTATTCTGGCTCTTGGCCCTGCTTTAATACCGTATTGGGTGCATTGTGGTTTTGTAGACAGTGCAATAAGAAATCTGATATTGCTTGATCCTGGTAGGAAAGGATTTTTATTTGTATTTAAATAGATTCATGTAGTTCTGATAGCTGCCTTCAGATTATTGTTTTCTAGGGTTTTGCTGATATAGCAGTAAACTTGGCAGAGAGGTTTGGATTGGTCCTTGGTAGTTTATTTCTTCCTATAAGAGGTCCAGCAAGATGAGCTAAGAATGGCTTATATTTACTGTAGGTGCTTCAACAAGATCTAGTCTCTTTTGTTAAAACTCCCTTATTTTTCGAAAATGGTGTGGAATTTTACAGGAAATAGTAATATAGTGTTCACACAGCATTACTGTCAGAAATTTAGTTTTACTAAAATTCGGTTGGCTTTCTAGTTATTTTATTCAAGAACTTTGAAAGCACGATTGACTCGGTAGTTAGTGGCTATATGTAGACACAAGTAAGGTTGAGATAGTGATTGGAAGTTGGGTGGAGCAACCCAGAAAAATGAAAATCACAGTATTTTAAGATAAACAGACTGTGTTTGTCCAATGGATTTGATTTCTCCTGATGCTTTGAGGAACAAGTATTTGGGAAAGTCTGAACATCTTGCACTGACAAAGACGCTTGGACTTTCTTCTAGGAGTTTTAACTGTCCCTAATTATGCTCATGCCTTTGTAGTTTTGTAATACAAAGATGAAACTTAAGTTTTTGTCTCCTAAAACAAGTACAGCTCAGAGGGCTCATCTTTTAATCAGTTTTCCTATTTCCATTAGCTGAGGCTAGTCACAAGCCAGTAATTTTAAGGGGAATCCTCCAAGAACCCTTTTACTGCACTTAGAAGGGGAAAATCATTGAGGGGAGAGGAGGGAAAAAAAAAAAAACACCCAATTTTGCTGCCACCAAAAGGGACTGCTTCAAAGTTGAGCAAGTAGGAGACTTCTGTATCCTTCTCTGCAGCACCTCAAAGTCTATGAGTAGATACAGAGCTTTCTTTGCTCATAGTTTGGTGCTTCTCCACACCACTTTCCCAGTTGTTGTTGCGTTCTCCTTAAGTGATGACAGATGACTTAACTGCCATAGGAAGTGACAGCCTAGCAAATGTTAACTCTGTCCATCTGTTTGCTTATTATGGGCCTTGTGACAACTGCTAAACTACTCGATGCCTAGGAGAACACTGTTCTGACATTCCTGTAGGAAAACAGGAAATTAAAAATCAAACACACTTATGTGGACTGTAATAAAGGAATTCTAAAAATATTTTCATAATCTACGATACATTTTTTTAGGTCAGTGTATGGTGCAGTGACTTTCGGCAACATGCATCAGTAAGAGTTATTTGAAATTAGTAGCTATGAAAGGAGACCATTTAAGGGAAAAGACAATTGGGCATGGCCTTTGCATGCAAGGGAGGCTGGAAGGCTGTTTCTTACTTAAAAAACCAAACTTTTTTTTTTAAGTGCAAATGTACGAGTGTCTGAAGTGATCAAATTGCTACAGCTAGAAATAATACAGGAAGCCTTGTATCTTTTTAATGTCTTTTTGCATTTCTTTGATCTCTGTTTAAAAGATGGGAAGAACACCTGAAAAGTTACCATTTTGTGCGGGATTCCCCCCCTCAACACTTCAGTTGCTTTCTCCATTTTTTCCAGTTGGACCTTTTGTAGAAGGCAAGAATGTTACATTTGGTATGTCAGGAAAAAGTTGTTTTATATATGTAAAAAAAAAAAGTCCCAAGCAAAATTTAGCACTGCAAAGAAGTAAAAAGGGTTCAGATCTATACAAGTCAGTCTTGCTTCTTTTGGCTCCATGACCCTTTGTTAGTGTTATTAAAATATTGTGGTTAATGTTCTTTTCAGATCCGCAGTGATGGAATGTGGTTTTGCTAGTCACTTAACTGGTAAAACGTCAAACTCCTTTTTATTTTATTTTGTATTTTACAGGCAGATTTTAAACTAATGTGTGATAATGCAATGACATACAACAGACCAGATACTGTTTACTACAAGCTAGCCAAGAAGATACTGCACACAGGCTTTAAGATGATGAGCAAAGTAAGAGACCTATTAAAAATAAAAATCTGGAAAGTAGTGGGTTTGGGGTGGTCAGATTTAAAAGGAATGTAATCAGTAACAACGATAAGCATTGTTTCATCCATCTGTCATTAACGATGGCAGTGCCCCTTAGTACTGCTATATTTAAGGGCCTGATAGCATTTGTTGTTATAATTGCTCCTTTATTTCTCAAACTGCATGAAGTCTGCATGTACTTTAGTGGAAGCAAGATTCAGGCACTTAAACCAGCTGTAAAAACGCTGCTTGTGGCTGAAACTTTGAAAACAAAATCTCACTTCAGAAACAAGTTTTATTTATCATGTTAGTAAAAGAGTTTGTCTTTTTGGGAAGGGGGTGGGGGCAGATGATAATAGGTTTCAGGGGTTACACGCATACATACTTCTTAGTAAGGTGCAGTTGTCACTCAGTAAAAAAGTTATTTTTATGAGCTACGGCATGTGTGTGAGTGTGTGTGTTGCGGTTCTGTTGTGGTAAGTCTTGTCTAAAGTAGGTGGCTGTCTTTGCATATGCAGTTTTTTTTGTTTGTTTCTCTCTTGATAGTTGGGCTGCAGAAATTCTGATGCCATGCTACCATGACCAAATCATGTTGCATCGCCATTGGAAACGAGGCATTAAGAACAAAATAAGGCCATGGCCATTCCCATCCCATCCCATTATCATAGCATCTTGGCTATGAGGGAAAGGTTAAGTCCCTGCCGCTCTGTCCTTTCTGATTCTAGGAACGGCTGTTAGCTTTGAAGCGCAGCATGTCGTTTATGCAGGACATGGATTTTTCTCAGCAGGCAGCTCTTTTGGGTGATGAAGACACAGCAGTTGAGGAACCTGTTCCTGAAGTTGTTCCTGTACAAGCAGAGACTACCAAGAAATCCAAAAAGCAAAATAAAGAAGTTATTAGGTAAAGGTTTTAAATGACATGCTTGCTGGTTTGTTGCACCTTTTCTATTATCAGAGAGCAGCAAAGCACTAAAGAAAAAAAATTAAATCCTTGTAGCCACCTTTTCTTCACATAGAATAAATGGTCATTTGACTCTTTTTTTTTTTTTTTTTTTTTTTTTTTTTAAGGAGCTTAACTATCTAGTTATTCCTAAAGAGAAATGACCCTTTTAAACTTAGTTTTAAACTTTTTAAATTCATTTTTTAAGCTTAGTTTTATTATATACGTTTTTTCTTCTCTATGTTTGTATAAAATAAGTAGCTACCTTGGATGATGGCTTTATTATTTCATTTTTAACATAACAAAAAATATGTTTTGTAATAATTACCTTATTTTGACTTTGAAGTTATAGTTAATATATGGAAAACTATTGTGTATTTATTTATTTATTTCTTATGAATTGCTTAGGTGCATCAGAATCTGAACAGGACCTTTGATGGAGGGCAGGAAGCCCAGATTAGTACAAGATTTTTCTTTGACTGGAGTCTTATCTGTCAGGGTACATCTTTCTAGGACAGATGATGTTTTCCTGATCACGTCTTACTAAGTTTCTTTGTAACAGGTTGTTAGTTCAATTGCTGTCTTACAGAAACATTCATTCTCTTGTCACAAAACCATGTTTTGATGGCTAAAAAATTTGGGGAAAAATCTGTTTTCTATTTTAGAGTGTTTAAATTTTAGCATTTAAAAAAACTTTTAGAGTTCTAATCAGACTTATGTTTAATCAGCCACATATGACATAGTGTGTTTTCTGTGTGTCAAGGTTTCTGATCATGTGGCTGATAAAATAAGTAATATTTTGAAGGGCTTGTCTTGTGGGAGTAGGAGACACTAACGTGTATTTTTAAAATGTCTTGTTGAGTATTTTTTTTTTTTGACTGGATCTACTCTGATGTCAGCATTCAGAAACATAGCTGCTGCCACTATTTTACTGGTGACTTTCTCTTTTTTTCTCTTTTTTTGTATTTTGTTTTGTTTAATAGTTTGTATATAGAATTAATTGAAAGTACCATTTTTGTTAATTGGACTTCAGACTTTATTATAGCATCTTTTCAGAAAGAAGCTGTGTTGTGCTTTATACAGTGCCCAGAACAATAGGTTTTCCCTTTCTGATTAATTCTTAGGTAACCTCCTTTACAGATGTAACTTAGTCATGTTTCTGTGCTTATCTTCAAATGCGGGTAGTTAACAGAGCAAAGAATTGAATCAGCAAGCCTTGTATTACTCTTTTTTTTTTTTTTTTTTAAGATGTAACTTAATGTACAATTAGACAGCTAAGAACCACTGACCTTGAATTCTATCCTGATAGCCAGTTTTGAGGGGAATCAATTTTGAAACTGCTTTTACCTTCTTAAACGTCAATATTTACGTAATTTTAGTACTTCTAATTATTTTATCTTTCTGATTAACTTGACACTTTAAAAATGTAAATTTTGGACTCAGTAGGAGAATTATTATCCTTTTTGAGATACAAGGAGTATTTGGAGGGGAGAATTGGTCCTAATGGCAGATATTTGTTGCCTCTGTAATTCACAGCCCAAAGCTGAGGAAGAGTTATTGTAGTTGACATTTTCAAGAGGTGACAAAGCAGTGTGGACCTCTGCATTATGTTTTGAGAAGTGCCTTGGTCACACCGCATCTAAGCCCTCCAGGGTTCTGCACCATTCTGAACGTTCGCTCAATTCCTGCTCATTGTGTGCTGTGGAACGTGATGGAGCTAGTTGTCCCACAGTTTTTGGTTTTGTGCATATTTCCTTGAAGTTTCAGTGGAACAAAAAATGTAAAGATACTTTCCCATAATATAGCATGACCCTGTGATCTTTTTATTGTCTTTAACAGCAAAACTTCTTGTGCATCAGATCTGAATCTCCATACACAGAGAAATTCTCAGCTAAACAAGCAGAAGAAAATACCTAATGAGTGAGGAGTGGGACTGATTGTTTTATTTAGAAACCCCAGAATTCAGTGCTTTGTTTTGTCTTTTGGTTTCTAGAACTACTACTGTTTTTTCTTTCTTTCTTTAGTTGCATCTTTGAACCTGAGGGAAATGCATGCAGCCTGACAGATAGCACTGCTGAAGAACATGTCCTGGCACTAGTGGAGCATGCAGCAGATGAAGCTCGGGATAGGATCAATCGATATCTACCCAACAGCAAGGTCCACTGCATGATCAAGCTCACAATTCTGTGTTGTTTCTGACTCTTGAATACCACTTGTTTCATTAGAGGAAACAGGCTTGAGCGCTTGTTACTGAGAAACGTTGCATCTAGTTTGGGAAATTTGTGCTCTGCGTGGAATACAAAGATGGATACTGTCTTTCCTTTAGTTCTCATTGAAGCCCATTTTAGGGAGGTATACAAATGTAGTGTTAAACATATTTAGAAATTCACCCACAGAAAACTGAAGTATTGCTCAAGCTTTGCTCTGACTTCCTTAATGGTAACCTTTAGGATTAAAAATGGTGGCACGTTAGAAGGAAAGCAAACTTCAGTTGGTTGAGGGGTTAGGGTCACAGGGTTGAGAGGGGTCATAGGTTGAAGGGTTATGAAGGGTTTTCTGTAGGGAGGGTGTACCTGTGTACAGGTGTACACCCTTCTGTAGGGAGGGTGTACCTGGTGTACCTGTCTTCTGTACTGAAAGAAGCTGTTTTGTAAGCTTCATATGCTTTACTTTATTTTCCATTGTGGCAACAGTTTGTGGCTCTGTCTTTAGAGACTCGTGTCCTATTGTCTTCCAGATCTTAGGCTGTCTTTTTGTCATGATTTACATGTGGTCTGCTCACTGTCACAGAACTTCTTCCTCCTTAAGAATCTGATAGTATCTTCATAAAAATACCTACAGATTTGAAAACAAGTTGAGTCTAGGCATGGAAGTGGTGAGATATATTCCATAATGTGACTATGGTTCTGCTTCTAAAAGAAAAGTGCATAATGTCTACAACACATAGGAATGGGAATGGGAAAATTGGGAAAGGTAATGGGAATTGTTTTTTATCTTGGGTGCAAATTTTAGATCTGACTTAGGAGAATGGAGAATTCATACTTATGACAGAAAAGGTATTGCTCTAAATGTGTGGTTGTAAGCATTTGCTGGAACATGCTAAATGGTTGAGGTTCTAGGTTTTCTGTTAAAATTGCAGGACCTGAATTTATCCAAAAATACTTTAATTTTGCTGTATAAGCAAGCATCTCTGTTTTGAGTTAGGACTTTTGTGAATTATGAAAGTGCTTCTATATCTTGCTGTTTGTTTTATAGATTGGTTATCTGAAAAAGAATGGAGATGGAACTCTATTATTCAGTGTAGTCAACTCATCTGATCCAGAAGCAGAGGGTAAGTATCTCGCACTATTTGAAGTGCTTCTTTAAAAGGTTATGTTCTAGCAGATTTTTAAGGCTAAAATGTACGTACAGATCCTGAAAAAAGAAAGCTTTTGCAACATTTGCCCTGGTAGCTAGATTTAGGACCTCTAAAATCTTCTTGTCCCTTGAAGTCTTCATTCTTGGCTTCAGATGCTTTGTTTTACTGAAACTAACAATATGAAGATAAAATGCTAGCAAAACATAAGCGCTTATATTTTACTAAAACTTAGGAGAAGTTGGAAGACTGCCTTTTGCTGCAAGGTGAATGAAAGTGCTGTTGTCCTGCCAAAGTATGCAAAGTTTAGATAGGAAAATAAAGGGGAACAGCACTTCTGTGTATGTACTTTCTAATTTAAATTATCAGCTAACTTTCTAGCTTACAAATTTTGCCTAATTATTTAATCTATTCTGTGTGGTTTTACCACTAGATGGTTTTTCTGTCTTATGCTTTCTACTCTTTTGAGCTCAAAATGCAGAAGTCTTGAAAAGTTTGCAGTAAATGAAATTGCATAGCGTTTATGCTGCTTTGACATGCTGATTTTGCACTTTCTCCTCTGCAACTTTTGAGATGGGAAGTCATTCCCAGGTTAGCTCTTCCTGAGACTGCTGAAGGCTGGGACCTTTTTGACTTGTCAGACTTAAGTTTCCATCTCCCAAGTGAAGTCAACAGATCTCGGCTGTTTAGTGTAAACTCCTTTTCACTTATTATCTAAACTTGCAGTGAATAGTTCTGACAGTGAAATCGAGCATTTTGAGTGCCTTCATGCAATTACCTATTTCTAAACAAATGAAGTAATAAAATGAATGTGAATAATATCTCTGAAATCATGATACACTGAAAATTTAGACAGATGGTAAGCAGAGCAGAAAACTTTTGCTGTGTCCAGTAAAGTTCTGGTTCTTGGTGTTTCTGTGCTCCAGAATCTTTTTAGGTTGTCTTCAATACTAATTATACTGGATTTGCAGCTAACACTGAAATTAGAATTTTTGTTTAGACTATTTTCAATCCTAGTAAGATTAGAGCTATATATTTGCCTTCTACAGTTTAGTAACTGAGCATAATTACCATTCAATTCTGTAACAGCCATGGGAAGTGTCGTAAAAACAGAATTATAGATATATTTTTTCATATGAAAGCATATTCCAGACTTAAGCAGTTATTTAGTTTAAAATTTATTTAATTTTACTTAAGCAGTTATTTAGTACATAACAAAGGAAAAGAAAGAAAAGAAAAAAATATTGCTGCAACCATAATAGTAATTCATGCATGTTAACAAATTTCTTTTTTTATTATGCTTGAGCTTCTGTAACCAGATGACTGCAGTCAACTTTTCAAAGTAACAACCTCTAGTATGAGTAAATTCTAAATATGAAATACATGGGATTCTTTTGTTTGCTTTTATAATGACTACTTTCTTTTAAATCAAATTATTACAGAGGAAGAAACTCACCCCGTTGATCTCAGTTCACTGTCAAGCAAATTATTACCTGGCTTCACTACACTGGGCTTTAAAGATGAACGAAGAAACAAAGGTAAATGCAAGAGAAGAATGTCTTTTAAATTATGTATTATTTACATACTTGAACAAATTCCAGGCATAAAAGATTTAATTTCATTCCTGTATCCCAGTGTATTTTGTAGAGTATTTAATTATTTAAATTTACAACAGAGTGTGATTTTTAATTAAACTCACTTTTGGGAAATCAGATTAAAGACTTCACTGATCAATGTTTTGCATTTTAGAGATTTATATCTATTTAGTATGGCAGAATATAATTTTTACAGAGCAGCTACTACCTTTGTAAGATGTCATTATTTTCACAAGCTGTAGTGCCATCCAATTAAAACTTGCCGTTTTTTTTCTGTTGTTACTGTAGTTTTAATAGTTATGAACTGATTAATAGTTTCTAACCTACTGATTAGCAAACTGTGAATTAGCCACACACAAAAAATAAAAGTCTGTAATTGGAAAACAATTTTTTGGTTAGCTTATACTCTTGGAACAATTGTGCTGTTCTGGATTCTGGTAGTGTCTTTTGAAGTTTTGCCCTTGAATTCAATTTAGGGCATGGTGGGTGAGGAAGGACCAGAATCAAGTAACAGCCCAGTGACACTTTATATATCTGCATTCAAAAACTTTTCCAGTAATTTTTACATTTGTGCTAATCATTTGTCATCTCTTTATTCTGTCTAGTAACCTTTCTTACAAGTGCAAGCACAGCACTTTCCATGCAAAACAACTCTATATTTCATGATCTGAAATCAGATGAAATGGAACTGCTGTATTCAGCATACGGTGATGAAACTGGGATACAATGTGCCTTAAGGTAAGTCCATCCTTATTGGTAGGGCCTTCTATTGAAGAGTTACTTCCTTAGTGCTAACTTCTTAGAGCAGTTTTAGGAAAAGCAGTTTGGCCTGAATGTAGAACTAAGAGCACCCAATCCTGATTTTTCTAAAATTTACTTTAAAAATAACTTTCTCCAAAACTTTTTCTTTGTTTAACAAAAATAAATGAAAACAAAAGTTCTTAATATTTTTTTTTCTAAACATGTATTTAGAATGTAACAGAACAAGGAGAAAACCAAAATGTAAGATTTTGTTTGTTTGTTTCTTTGTTTTTTAATATTTCTCTGCTAATATCTCCCTACTAGCTTACAAGAATTTGTGAAGGATGCTGGAAATTACAGCAAGAAAATAGTGGATGATCTTCTGGACCAGATCACTAGTGGAGATCATTCCAAAACTATTTATCAGCTAAAGCAGGTGGGTCTCTGATGCACTGGAGTGCCACAGGTTCATCAAAACAAGGATGGGCCTGGCTGTGTTTATTAATATGGTCCGAAATGCTTTGTTTTCCAGTGCCAGTTTAAGTTGTCTTTCCTCCCAGCCCTCCCCCTTCTTGCCCTCATCTGTTGAGCAGGCTTAGCTGTTTGTGCAACCATGTGGCGAACCAAATTAGAAACTGAAGTAATCAACTGAGAAGTAACCTTTCTATTTAAACAAAAAAAAGTGTTTAGGATTTTTTTTTTCTCCATATGGATCAACTCTCCAATCTGCTTCACAATGTGACTGCAGAAAGGACAAGGCAGGGGGATGCAGCTTAGGGGTGGGGGCAGCCAGCTGAGGTCACTGTTCGATCCTGAGTGACAGAGCTGCTCAGGCAGCCCTGAGTGTCTGCTTCAGAGGTAGAGCGCTACGCTAATGATCGATTTTTCTCTTATTTGTTAAAATGTATTCTTTGTGGAAGCTTTATTATTTGGGTATTGGAATAGTGCTAGAGAACAGAATTACATCACTTTGTTGGCATCTATACACAATGATGTTAACTCTTACATGCATGTGATGTGCTTAAAGGAAAAAATTAAGTTCATTTCCAAAACTTTTTTTTTTTTTTTTGAGAGAGAGAGGTCAATTTTAAGACTGGAGGAGTTTTCCCCAGAAATGCATATATTAGTAAATGTACCCCCCATAACACTTTTGCTGCCATGTTGTTTGAATCTTGCTCCAAAAGAGTATTCCTTGAACATCCTTCAAATGGGGAATGCCCGTTTACACTGAGACTGTTGCAGCATTTGATGTGCCATTTTATGCTTGAGTATTTTATGCTATTGCATTTAAATAAGAAGAAATGCTTCTGCAAGTGCAGTTTAAATGGCTAGATATCAGAAGTTGCTATATTCATCACTAATATATTGTGCTTGAACATAATGTTTATGGACAGAAGAAATAGCATAAGTAAAATATTTCAAAACAGCACTCTATGTTGTAATTTCATTACAGATATGCAAAAAACATCAGATGTCTTCTAGCTTCAGTTTGTGAGAAACTTGTGTAAGGTTAATATTGTACAAAAGACACCTTTTGCCTATGTCAAAAAAAAAGTAATTGGTAGTATTATTTCTTTCTAGAGGCGAAACATACCAGTAAAACCACTGGATGAAGTTAAAGTAAGTTATACTCGGCTTTTTTATTACTGGAAAAAGGTGGGGGTTTTTTAAGAGAACACGATGTTCTCTGGGCTTCCAGCATTCAAATTCCAAATTTTATATAATGTGGAATTTATTTAATTCCTGTTATTTACAGGAAAAGATTGATAAATTGAGATTATATAGTTAAAAAAGCTAGCCTGGCTAGTTCCAAGTTAATTTATGTGAACATATATAGTGATCAGTTACAGAAGACCTAAGCTAACCTCAAAAACCAGTGTTCCATGGTGGCCTAAAATCTGATCATGGTGAACTCATCGATTACACGAATTACAAGTATACTTGAGAAACATTAATCCAAGTTGGAAAGTGGCAAAAACTAACATATAATATTTGGTTCCTTAGGTTCTGCCAGTTCTAATAAAAGAGGAACACAAGTTGCGGAATGCCTGTCCAGACTCTTCCAAACAGATAATGGTAAAACAGTTTGTGTGTAGAAGATGGGATGTTGCGTACGTCCATTTTGTTTCAGTGCATGGATATGCATGCTGTGAGGTAGAGGATTAAGATTTCAGTCTTTGGAATAAGTTTTCCGTAATTAGAAGGATGCTACAGAATACATTTTGTTTTGGTAAGTAACTGCCCTGTTCTTTACTCTCTGGTTTAATGCAGCATGCATTAGCTAAACCTGAGAGGCTGAAAGAACGGTTAGGAATCTCAAAGATTGCTGATCTGGTGATGAAGAATATTTGAGGTCTGTCCTGCTATAAAAGTGTAGGAGAGGAAAAAGGTGGTATTTACCATTTTCTCCCTGTGTCTAGAAAATGTCAGTTAGAAAACAGGTTTTAAATGAAATACCCTGTATCTCTTAAGCAAATCTCTAAGCAAATCCTTAAGTGGTACAAGTGTTATCTTGTAAACTGTGACAACAGAGGATACGCATGACAGGATTCTATGGCAATTCACATAACTTGCATTCTAACTACTACACTGTAGATGCCAGTAAAATTTTACTTTTAAATATTTCATGGTTTTGTTTTATTTCATACTTATGTGTTTGTATTTCTTTAGAAGGTGACCAGTCAAGGGAATTCATGCAAGTACTAAAAATACCCAATTGTGTCAAACGCTGCATGTCCTATTTGTGCACCTGGAATTCTGATAGAATGTGCTGCAAAACTTAATAGCTTGTAATTTATTCTTTGCATTGCATATAAGTATTGAAGTGAATATGGAAGAAATTAGTGCAGCCTATATTTCATTATCTAAAAGAGTAGAGATCCACTTACTAGAGTCCAGCTCCAGGTGATGTTGTCTTGAATAGGTGTGTCTTAGGGGCTTTATGAATTATATGCTGAAACATCTGCTGTTTTATTGGGAAGATGAGGGAAAATGACTTCTGGAAGTGGTTCACAGGAGGGACGCTGCTAATGCTTCCCGTGGCCGTCTGTGGTGGGACAGGGATGAATGGGGCACGTAGCTGAGGTCTACAGGATTAGCTTATGTTGCTTTCGCCAATCCTGGATGATTAGGTGGAAGTTTCAGACTACTCTGCAGATCCCTTCCTGGATTTTTTTTGTTATGCTAGTGGTACAGTATTTCCTGGAACCATGTTTGAACTGCCCGTGAGCTGCAGGTTGGCCAAACGTGGTCCAGGCAGTTGTAGTCTCAAGTGTTGGTGCCACATGCTTTTTAGAGTGTGGATCCATGCACTGACCTCACACTGTTGTTTCCTGTGATAACTTGTCACTATTGTCGATCTTAAGTCTTCCTGTTTCTTATATTTGAATTAGGTTGGTGAGTCTTCGGGAGACAATAATCCTTCTGACTTGGACTTTCTCTCTATGAAACCATACTCAGATGTTTCTCTTGATATATCCATGTTAAGTTCATTAGGTGAGTAATTAAATATGCAAGCCATCAATTACAATTCAATTGTAACATTTAGTCGGTGTAACAGTTGCATTTGCTAACAGTGATTACTCAATGGTAGTAATTCTCAAGTCAATGTAAATATAAGTCTATAGCTGGCACAAGGGGGATGCAACTTTATTCTGCTTTTCCTTTGAAACAACCTCTGCTAGTCATGCTAACCTCCTCCTTCTATTTATTTATTACAATTTATTTTTTTATTACTTCTATTTATTTATGCATCACAGTTTGAAACTTTCATTTTTTTTTTTATGTGTCCATAGTAATGAAAGTGTAGGAATCAATGTGGAGCTGTGGTTCAGAACTGTCATTGCTTCATTGCTGTCTTTTTAAATGACTGTTGGGACATAAGTAGGGAGCATATCAATCTCAATTTTAGCACCTCTTGGACTGCCCCAAAATACCAATCAAGAAAAAAAAAAAACGGGTATCGGAAAGACCATCCTCAAGAAGAGAGGCAGTTTTGGGTGCTTGTTTCAAATATACATTGTTCATAAGCATTTTTTCTTTAAATACAAAAAATAATGTTCAGATTTTTGGAGGCTGCTGAACTGATCAAATGTCTTCAAAAATGTCACTGCAAAATTAACTTTTGGTCATGGGTAAGGATGCCTGTATTGAAGCTCTGTATTGAAGACAGTCCCCAAAGAAAAGTGAAAAAGTAGGGGTTTTTTGTTTTCCCCCAATTTCTTGTTTTTCTAACTCTTCAGATGAAAGAACATATGGCACATACTTCCCATTTAAAGTTCTCAACTTTCTTTGGCTTACTGTAAATTGAGTACAGTTGAAGAGACGGTGTTCCTAAAACCTTCCATGATAAGGATTTCTCAGCCTCCCTTGATGATGTGTTCAATTTTGACTATTTTAGAAGAGTTAACTTTTAATATCTGACTTGCTGTGTCCTATGGTAAGCTGAGCATATTTATTTCTTGTCTACAGTTGACAGATCAGCAAGACAATTTGAACTCATAGTTTTTAAATACTGGGAAACTTGGAGAAAATCAATTCAGTTTCAGCCTTTCTCATGACTCTCTCCTGCATCTCTCAGTTTCTCCAAATGCATTTCAGTTTGCATTTCCTGAAACCGAGAGCAGATCTGAAGCCTTTTAGAAATAAAAATGAAAGTACAAGATTGAGCTCTTCTTTAACAGGCAACACTTGTTATCACATTTATTCTGGAATTTATTTATTATGACTTGGTAGTTCATGATTCAAATCACATGTGCTAATTACTGGTTTTGGTTGATAACTCGTGGCTTTAGGAAAAGTGAAAAAGGAGCTTGATCATGATGATAGCCATCTACATTTGGATGAAACAACCAAGCTACTGCAAGACCTCCATGAGGCTCAAGCTGAGAGAGTGGGATCCCGGCCATCATCCAACCTGAGTTCCCTCTCCAATACTTCAGAGAGAGACCAGCATCATCTTGGTAAAGTCAATCGTGTCACAGAAGTTGCAATATTTCTTCAGTAACTGAAGTTACAGAGAAATCTACCTTTTAACTTATAAATTACCTGAGACTGCTCTGATTGAACAGCGTGCAGACTGCAGAATCTCTTAGTTTTTAAATGAGTGATTAGGACAACTAAAACGACTTTTTATCTGTGGAAATAAAAACACTAATCTCGCTACTTCAGATCAAGCGTGATAATGTAACTGTGAAATAATTTGGAATTTGGCAGACTACAATATGCCCTTGTACTTTATGCTGCTAAGGTGCAGGTTATTTTTATTCAGCACAGTTATACGCACCCAGTAAACTGATGAGATTCTGTACTAGCCTTCTATTGTCACTGTAAACCAGAGTCATAAGATAGGCTGATAGGGTGACCCACAACTTCGTAATTTGTTACCTTTTCTGAGAAGAGATACTGTTCGGAGAAAATTAAGTCAGATTTTCTTTTTATATATTTTTTTCGATTCCAAGCAAAATATTGACTACTTTTTCAAAAAGAGTCTAAAGTACTAAGGAATCCTGTGACTTCTTTTTCAAGACCATCCTAACAATTTAAGTATCACTTAAATGTCTATGTTGCTCAAAAAGACTAGAAAAATATATTAAAAAACGACGACTATATATTTTCTTAGTGTTCTTTGTGTGTGTATACGTGTATATATACAGAAGTACAAAATTCTGTACACTTAAGGGGTCTTTGCTTTTCTTTCATTTTCTACAGGAAGCCCTTCTCATCTGAGCGTTGGAGAGCAACAAGACATGGTTCATGATCCCTATGAATTTCTTCAGTCTCCAGAAACCTCAAATGCTAATACTAACTAATCTGACATGTAATATAGATATTTTGTATTTTAAGTGTATAACGTTTTTATAAAGTTTTTGTCCATGGCAAAAACCTCAATCTTGTCCTCTTTTGTTTGAGGATTGCTGTTTAATATCATACACATTGGATTAAAAAAACAAAAAATGCCTAATATATCATGTTGTTAGCAATGTAGCGAAACCTGCTTTTTTTTAGTGTGTAAATTTTGACAGGAAAACATGAAATTATGTGATAGAAAACGTGTGTTTTGTAAAAATAAATAAAAAAAAAAATCACTGTTCCAGTATCATCACAGCAGCAGTTGTGAAATGTTTCACGACGAGTATGTTTCCCATCTCTTTAAGTTAATAATTTGAAGAAGTCTTAGCTTTCCCATCCTTTTCCCATCCCAAAATTTTCTTTTTCTAATCACTGTAGAGCTCACTTAATTTCAGAATACTACTTTGTAGTTACATTAAAATGCTCACTATGAGAAGTTTACCATGGATCAAAAAAGATGAAATGTTTTATGATCTCTTCTCTCTCTTAAAATACAAAGAAAATATAATCATTTTGAATTTCATATGTATGTTTATGTGCATAGGAAAATACTGGATAAGGTGTGCTTTCCAGTAATTTTAAAATGAAAATTTTATACTTCAGTACTGATATAACTTTTTTGTACGATTAATATGTGCAAGCTGAACAAGTCTTACAAATTTACAGTATTTTGTAAATACTACCTTAATAAAAACAATTTAAAAACACATTTGTTGTTAGAAAGTATCTTGTCCTTATCAGGAGAAAATTTGCTTCCCTATGTTTATGAAACCTGAATGAGTACAAGCTTTTGCTTTCAATTTGTGCTGCTGCAAAGTGTTATTTCATTGTGCCAAACATAGCTGTAGACAAAATTAATTCTCAATTTCCCAGAACCAGTAAGAAAGTTTGTCAGATTACTGAGATTGAAGTCCAACTAGGAAGATCCATTCACCCAAGCTAGGTAGTTGTCATTTGCACTGTTTCTTCTGTGGTGATGCCTTCTCTCTCCTCTTTAAGAATATATGCTTTCTGTTTGTTAAATGTAACTTAATGTAGTAAAGGACTTCAGCTAACCAGCATCTGGAACAGCTGCATATACCTACAACAGCAAATTCCAGAATTAGTGTTGCCCCTAAAGCTTTTGCTATTATTCAGCTAGGTCCTTGCCCATTTCTCAGTGAGCTGCTCTCATGTTTCAGAATGGAAAGCTGCAGCATAACCCCCATACACTACTTCAGGTAAGGCACCAGAGCAACATGCTGAACACTAAAGGCACACCCTGAGGGGGAGATAGATATTTATCAACATATCTAAGATTCATTGATACGAATATCAAAAAGGACTTGTTTTTTTCCAGTTTCTCTGAGGTCAAAACCCTGTCCTGGGTGGACGTGGAATTAAAATAATTACATTATTGTAGATACTGGAGCAATGTATTTGATATTGAATAGTTTTAAGAGTGAATTCTCTAAGTCAGTAATTGGTCCAAGGGGAAAGTGAGAGGTCAAGGCCTTTTAATTGGGTGTAAGATATTCACACATTAATTTGTATATATGTCAGAATGCCCCCTACTGCTGATGGGAAGAGACTTGCTAAATAACCTAGGAGCACAAATAACTTTTGATCAAAATAAAGCTTGAGTATATATTCCGTAAAATAATGCTTGGGAAACAGATATTTCTGTCGCAGTTAATTATCAGAAATGAAAAATGCTCGGGATAAGGAAAAGCAAGTCAAAGCCACCTTCGTGGACATCGTGAATGCAGCAAACCCTTTAGTTTGGGCAACTGAGAAGCCTGGGAAAGTGAAATTAAAGTGGAATTAAAACCAAGGTGAAGTCACTAAGACAACAGCAATATCCTGCAAGGTTGGAAGCCTGCATCAGACTAGAACTTGTAATTAATAATTTTTTAAAATATGAACTACCGTGCGAATGTCAGAATCTAATACTCCAATTTTACCTGCCAATAAGTCACAGGAACATCACTTTGTACTAGATCTAAGAGCTCTCAATCAAATAGTGGCACTTAACCCTTACACTCTATTAACAACAACAGCTGAGTCAGACGTCTATTTCACAGTATTGGATTTAGAAGGTGCTTTCGTTTGTACCCCACTAGAAGAACAAAGTCAGAAGCTGCTCGCTTTTTAATAGGAAAGCCCTGCAATAGGAGGTAAAATACAGCTGCGTTGAACCATGCCCTGAAGGATTTGGGAATAGCCCCACTGTTTTTAGTAACGTATTGGCAAAATAACTGGAGCAGTGGCAAGGTAAGAAGCCTAATATTACCTGGGTACAGTATATACATGATATCTCATTGGGGGCAGACATAGTTGAGAATGTAAAGAGGTCCCCGTTAGTTTATTGAATTTTTGGGGTCAGGCGGGATAGAGAGCACCAAAAAGGAAGGCACAACTTGTGCAGAAAAAATGTGATCTACCTGGGATATGAAACATACCAGGGAGAAGGAAAGTTGGGATCAGAAAGAAAGGAGGCAGTATGTCAAATTGTGCCGCGCCCCCGCCCCGGGCAAAGACAGACCTTAGAGCGTTCGTAGGGATGGCCAGACGGTGCCGCCTGTCGGCTTTGGGCCTCCCCCGCCATCAAGATGCCTGACAGACTGGCGGAGCCCAGCACAGGGCCACAGAGGTGCTCCGGTGCCGCAGCAGCTCTGTGGCACAGAAGGGGACGTGGAGGGACCTGGGCTTGTTCAGCATCCACAAGAAGCGGCTTCCTTTCAGGTACTCCGCAGAGCCTTCCCTTCTGCCTCTGCGTGATGCATTTGCCACAGCTACAGAGAAGGATGGTGGAAATCAAGTGCCTTGATGGTGGAGTTGCTGTGAACACTGCCTGTTGATCACTGCTTTGCTTCGATGGACTAAGGAAGATCAGGGGAAGCTGTAATTCAAAAGGGAGTGGAAAATCGGTAAGAGGAAATGGCAGTCTCACAAAGTACACCCACAGGTACCTTAAAGGTGTTGGCTGTCATTAGAGCAATCAATATATGTGTTCTTTTTTTTTCTGCTGCATGGCAAATTGCTTTTAATTTAAAATTAAAATGCTTTAAAGATTTGTCTTCTGGTTAATAAGACCAAAAAAGAGCAAAACATATTTTTTTTCTTTTACTGTGCTTCGTCATACAACACTAATTGAGAGTGACACCCACATTATGTTGCTTGCAGTTACCAGGTGTCTCTGCAGATGTAGCAGGTTGCATGTGTATGGGGAGATGCACAACGTGTGGGGAGCTGGGTGCACATACAAATCCTTCCAGCCGTGAGCTTTATCTTCGCCTGGTCTCTGGCACTACTACCTGTATTAATGGAGTTGACTGTGTGCGAGCTGGGAATTTATAAGCCTTCGCTGAGACTCGTGTCAGCCCAGAGGTGGGGTTTTTGGTCAGTGGTCAACACTTGTACACTTTCTTGCACACCTCAGGCTAATATATAGTCTTGGGAAAGGAAACCTTAAAATGTACGTGACTGCTATTTAATTCTCTTCTAAACAAATGCTTCTTCTGGAAGGAACCCTTTGTGCTTAACAATTGGTGAACAGGCTGTCCAAGGAAGGGATGGAGTCACCATCCCGGTCAGTGTTGCAAAACACGTGTACATCAGGCACTTTTACTTACTCAGGGACATGACTTCTTAACAGGTATGTTGCTGAGAAGCTTATGGTTGGACTTGATCATCTCCATAGTCTTATCCAACCATAAAGATTGTATCATTCTAAAAATGGTGTTGAACCCACAGTGGTTGATCTTCCTCCAGGAAAGCTGGCATGGGGTAGCGCCACTGCGCCTGGGATTTCTGGCAAAGAGGAGGCAAAGTCATCCCAAGGGGGCCAGGGCCCATCATGCCCTTTAGCCAGACCCAGCTCTTTGAAGCTGCGTGGCTTCCCCAGAAGAAAGCAGCTGAGTGGGGCTGAAGAAGACAGGCATTCCAGAGGTGGGAACTGGAGGCCTGAGCGCTCCTGGCGGGCGCATGCTCTTCTGCCATTCAAGGGAAGAGATGGTGATTCATGTGAGGGAAGAGCTCCCTCCTCCGGCCTCGCACTACACTGCTGGTCATTGTTCCAGCTTCCTGGTACCCGTGAAACTGGACCCTCTGAAAGATGCAGGGTAATCCTCAAAATGAAAGCAGTGGTGCTCAGGGGAACCCAAAGGAGGAAACTAAGAAGAAAGGGACTATGGGATAAAATCTTGATGAACGATTCCATCAGGTTCTGTGCAAGGGACAACACAGAACCAATGGGAGTCGATTCTAATGGGGATTCCCCTGAAAAGATGGAGGTGGGTCCACTTATGGCTGAGGACGAGCCTATGGAGGTGGATAAATCACCAGTGAAGGTGGCCTACGCAAAGCCCCCGGTGCTGGGGATGAGGGACTGTGTGGCGGTAGAACATCTACGGGCACAGAGCGCAGCAACTGCTTGCCTGGCATCCACCTTCCTTAAAACATGATGATGAAGGGACCATAGAGTGAGCCATCCACAGGCTGTGCACTAAGACCAGCCAACCACCATGGGCCAATAAATAATAAGAAGAACTCCTGACTTTCATGTGTGTTGTGAGGAAAAGGGGTCAGAAAAACCTCGGTAAGCTACTCATTTTGTGGTGGTGTGGTGGTGCCCGGTGATCATTTCTCAGGTAGTCCTGAAAATGCAACTGGTGGCTGCTCCCATGGGAACTCAAAGGAGGAGACTAAGAAGGAAGGAATTGTGGGAGAAGATTGTGAGCATGGAAGATTGTAACATCAGGTGGCCAAGAAGGAATGAAGAAGAGCCGATGGAAGTCGATCCTCCTGAGGAATGCCCTGAGGATATGGAGGTGGATCTTCCTCTGCCTGACGAAGAGCCAATGGAGGTGAATCCACCACCCGCAAAGGTGGCCTGTGTGAAGGCCCCTGTGCCAGGGATGGCCTGTCAGGAAACACCATGGCAGAGGCATCCCAGGAGAGCCTGGGGCCCATATGGCCATCGAGCTGTGTCCAGCCACCAGTCCCTCATAGAAGATCCACCTGAGGGGACTGCATGGCAGAAGAACATCTGCAGGCCCAGCACGCTGCTTCCCATTTCCCCTCTCTGCCTTTCTCCCCACCCCTTCACAGAACATGAAGATGTAGGGGCTGTATGAAGAGCCATCTGCAGACGG